TCTTAGAAAGACCATGTTCTGAGGACCCCAAAACCTGAAATGCAAAGTTGTTAGAATCACTGTGGCTCCCTAATATCCACTTAACATTTAATAAAAATAAGCCTTAAACCTCACCCAGCAAGTATTCCAACACCCATGCTCCTCATCTTCATTCTTTGCCAATTCTCTGAACTTTCCAGGTGTACCTCATGTTGCATTTGTTATTGGAAGCTCAATAAAATACTTTGTGTTGTGTCCCTAGGACCCACACTCTGGCATTCATACACACACACACACACACACACACACACACACACACACACACACACACTCACACACACTCACACACTCTTTGAGGCATGCTTCACAATAGGTATATGGTAGCTCTCTAGGAGAGCTTAGCAATAGCACCCACTTCATCACCTGCTCCAAGCATTGAGCAGGGGTTAAGGTCACTGCAAGCTAAGCAAACCTGGATGCCATTTAATGTCCAAATTAAATGGGATTTTACCTTTTGGCAGAGGGTCTGTACTGGGTAAAGTGATGGGAAGTCATTGTTTTAGAACCACGGAGCTGAAAGGGAACTTAGTACGGGGGATATCAGATCAGAAGGGAGCCTTAAAACAAGAATTTATGAACCAGAAAGAACCTTAGAAGAGAGAACATAAAATATCAAAGCAGAAAGTGCCCTTAGAACATAAAATTTCAGACCAAGGAGAAGCCTCGGGCTTAGAGCATCAAAGGTCAGAGCTCAGAGGGGCCTTAGAACACAGAATGTCAGAACTTCTACAGATCTTAGAACAAAGAATGTCAGAGCTAGAAGGGAGCTTAGAACATAAAATTTCAGATAAATGAAAGGCCGTTAGAAGATAGAATGTCAGAGCTGGGAGGTTCCTTGTATAACAGGGGTCTGATACATGTGCAGAATGCCTTGGTTAGCATCTCTGCATGTGGAAAGGCTGGGGAGCCTGCTTCTAGGAGACATGTAATGATGTGAAGTGGAAGTGTTTTGCAAAGACTCTGGGAAGCATGAGTAGACATTCCGTTAACTGGTTCCAATAGGCAATAACCATGGAAACTGAATGGGAGGCCTGTTTTAATTGGCTGCAGAGGCATTCAAAAGCCCTGAGTCATCTTTGTCCTGTCTCTTGCCTCAGCCCTTTCTAATACTCTGTGGTTGGACTACTTCACTCATGACTTCTGGTGAGAGACACTACTGTGAGAAGGGAAACCTTAAGCCCCTCATCAAGGCCAAGATGTGGCCCCATGAGAAATAGGCCTCAGGCCCTGGCTTCAGCCTTTGTTCTTTGCCCTCTTTGGAGAAGAGATTAGAGCCTCAGATCTTGTGACTCTCTGATGGTCAGGAGGAAGTCCCAGCATCCTGGAATTCTAGAATCCAGTTTTGAAGCCAGCACAGGGTCAAGGAGCAAGGAATAACCTTTAGCACTCAACCCAACAGTAGCTGAGGCAAGAACTCATCTGGCAGCTGTGCCACCTTTAGATATGAACTTGGTGGGACCAATGTTACATCAGAACTGAGCTAAGAGTGGGGTCCCAAGTACTGGGGGAAAAGGTTTGTACTTTGTTCTTAGGATACCTTCAAAGCAAATATCCCTTCGCTAAAGTTAATTGATGTTAAGTGTTAAAATAGAACCGGGGAGCTAGTCACTGGAAGCTGGTGGCTTTCCTTTGTTCTCAAAAAGGACCAAAATGACATCACTATGGTGGGGGCCAAGATGCAGTGTGTCCAACTGTGGCTGATCAGACCTACGTGAGCTCAGAAGACAACCCCAGATCAGGCACACGGAGTCGATATGAGCATTTGAAATGGAGCTGTCTCTAAATGCACGCCTCCCATTTCCTTTGAGGCACGGTGCCTTCTCTGATGAAGGCACACCACGCTGGGTGGTCCTGTGCCAGCGTCTCCCATATCTCATAATCAACTCCAAAGTTCTTTAGAGAGACCTCAAGAGTATCCTTGTATCACTTCTTCTGACTTCCGTGTGCCTTGTATGAGTTCTCTGTAAAATAGTCTTTTAGACAAATGTGTATTTGGCATTCGAACAACATGGCCAGCCCACTGGAGTAGCACTCACTGCAATAGATTTTGAATGCTTATCAGTTCAGCTTGAGAAAGGACCTCAGTGTCTGGCACCTTCTTTCCAGGTGATTTTCAGAATCTTCCTGTTTCCTGGCATGGCACTGGCATACTGTCCAGGTTGGCATACTGTCCAACAATGAGGTCAGACAACAGCTCTATAGGGCTTCAGTTTGACAGGCAGTCTAAAACCTCTTCTCTCCCACGCTTTCCTTTAGAGCCTCCTAAACACCAGCATTGCATACGTCAACCTCATCATCTATGTGGACATCCCTGGAAAGTATACTGCCAAGATAAATGAACTTACCAAGAGCATTCAAAATTTCTCCACTTCCTGTAACCAATGGTTCCATGTATGGATGGTGTGATGCTGGCTGGTAGAGAACCTCTGTTTTCTTGGTGTTAATTGTTAGGCCAAAATTAGCAAAAGCAGCAGAGAATTGATCCATACTTTGCTGCACCTCAGCCTCAGAGACTGTACTGAGCACACAATCATTGTTGAACAAAAAATCACACACCAACTCTCCTCCCACTTTAGTCTTGGCTTGTAGCCTTTTCAAGTTAAATAATTTACCATCAGTGCAGAAGCTGACCTTGATGCTGTTTTTGTCCTCACTGAAAGCATCCAACAACATCCCTGAAAACATCATGCACACAGCCCTGCTTCACTCCATTGGTGACCGGAAAAGCTCAAGAGCATTGTCAATTATCCAGAACCCATGCAAGTATGCCATCATGAAACTGACATACAGTACTAATGAACTTCTCCAAGCAACCAAATTTTGCCATAATTTTCCACAAGCCCTCATGACTGACAGCATCAAATGCCTTTATTAGATCAAAGAATGTTTAATTTCAATTTCTCGTATTATCTGGGCCATTTTTTCATATGATTATTGATAGCTTGCCATTCTTCCTTTCAGAAGTGCCTCTTCATAACCTTTGGCCATTTAGCTATTGGGGAATGCCTCTTGTTCTTATGTATTTTTATCAATTCTTTAATATCTTGGCTATCCAACAAACTTGCTACAAAGATTCACCCCTTTGCTTTTACCACTTAATTTCTTAAACTCCTAGTTTCCTGGGACTAATTCCAACAAATAGGGATAATAATACCTGCTTTGACTCCCTTACAAGGTTGTTGTAAGGAAAAAATGAAAAAAAAATAGATGTTAGCAAACTTTGTGAAAGATACAGAATTTTACATGGAAAGAATATCACTATTATTGTTATTGTTTTTGCTGTTATATTCATATCATGTGACCTCAGGCAAGTCATTGCGCCACTCTGGGCCCTCATCTTCCTTATCTCCAAAATGAGAGAATTGGATTAAATTATCTTCAAGATCCTCTCCAGCTCCAACATCTCATGTTCTTTGTTTTAAGATCTTCTCCAGCTCTAACAAGACTATTGTATAAAGCGTGGTCTAGGAGTCATCTCATAGACCAGAGACTCCCAAACTTTCTCAGTTCACAGTACCCAGAGTGTCTCAGTAATTTTTTTGCAGCACCCCTAGGCCAAAAGAAATACTTAACTCTTCTGTTTATTAAATAATCAGGTCGAAACAACTTAATTAGTATTTATGTCCTAACAACTTGATAGCCATTTGAAAGAATAATATACATAAATTTAAAGAAAAAATATTTTAATTCATTCTTAAATTACCACAATTGCTTACTAATGAGATGTGTTGAGTTTCTTGTGCTTATATTACACAGCTTCTTAAACCTTGGAACCATATTGGACACTGCCACCCTCCTTTCCTATTCAATATCAGTTTTCACGTAGTAATTGCTTTTTATCACAGCAACCACTGAAAACTCAGCTCTGAAAAGATATGAGAAAGTTTGAGGTATTACCAGCATAATCAAAAGAACCAGTAAACAAAAATAGATCTCAAACATTTGAGAACACCATCAAAAGGAATGTAACATGCTCTGATATTGAAATTGTGAACTACCTTGGTGTCCAACAGATGTCAAGTATTACTGTTTCCTTTGAACGTTTAAACTATCCCACAGAACCCCTGGGAATTTACTAGCTGTGGTACTGAGGAGGTCCTATACCCTTTCAGGGGATCCATGAGGTCAAAACTATTTTCATGACAATTCTAAGACATTTTAATTTCTGATGCAGTAAATATAACCCACGTAAACAAAAATTTTGTAGAGGCCCTTGATAATTTTTAAAAGTACAAATTTTAAGAGGGAATGTATCCGTTTTTATATTAAAAAACTATAGTAGCATTTTTTGTTGTAGAAAAAAATTGGAAACAAAGTGGGTACCCAAAAAGTTTGAGAACTACAGGGTGGTAGAAAGAGCTCTGGCTTTGTTTTTAGGATATGTGAGTTCAAATCCTGGCTCTAACACTTGTTAACTATGGGATTGAGGACAAATCACTTAACCTCTCTGGGCATCAGTTGAATATTAGATAGCTGTTATTATTATTACTATTTATCCTTCATGTAGAAGAAGACCAGGGACATCACAGGGTGATGTCTTGACTTGGCCATGAATTGGATTTAAGTAAGGCAGCGTTGCTCCAAGTCATCAGCCTCACTCTCTCTTTCAGAGTCATCAAAGTTCAGTGTCAAGACAAAAGTGAGGATGACTGGTGATGGCCCAGGATGCAGTGAATGACCTTGGCATCTTCTGTGTCTAACCAAGCACTATGAGCTCCACAGTGTCTGGTTCAGCCTCCATGGCAGTTGAAACAAATTCTTCTCATCTGCCCATTCTGTCAGAAGAAGTCTTTACATGCTTGGGGACACATACCACATATCCCATATCAGATGACACAATGTATATATCATAAATTATTGCAATATTATAAAATATTGAATATTGCAAACCTTGAAGCATTGTATCAATATTAAATGTTAATATTAATTTCATTATTACCTACCTCCTAGGGCTGTGATGGGGGGGTGCTCTTTGTAAAACTAAAAGCAAAACAAAAATTAGTTATTTGTCCAATTCTGACATTTTATAGTCAAGACGTAAATTCACAAATAACACAGTTAGCATAAGAAATAAATGCACAAAAATTAGCTGACCTATGCAGTAAGAGGTGGGCTCTCCAACTTTCCACATCAAAGTACTTGTTACTACTAACCTAGTTTTCACAGGGCTTAAGACAGGGCCACCAGACATCCATTATCTCTTAACCAGGCATCTGACTCTGATGCTCTATCTTGCCTCTCCTGTGACCTGGCTAAGATTCCTACCTTTTCAGGTGTTGACATACTGTCTAAGCTCAACTGACCTAACTTTATGACTCCTTGGCTTTCAGTTATCTGGTTGATTTTAAATATCTGTACCAGGTCCCCAGTTAAATGAATGTGGCTGTATTTCACTACTGGGCTCATACCCTAGGGTATAAGGGTGTGTGGAGTGTTCAAGGAGGACAAGTAGCTTTGGTATGAGGACTTGCCAGGCCCTTATTCAGAGCTGTTCATCCACGTTTGGTATCCAACTTCCACCCAACTCTCACCTGTGGCTCCAAGAAGCAGTAGCATGTATAGCGGCCACACTCTGGTAAATCATCTCAACAGATGGGCTAAACAAGGTTGAGGGTAACCAACAGACTTCCAACCTGCAGGTGAACTGGGGAATGTCTAACCCAAGCATGTGAAGGCTTCCCGCAGTGGAATGGGTGGAAGAGAACAATTTGTTCCAAAGGCTATGAAGGTGGTTGAAGCAGGTTTTGTGAAACCATTAGAGCTTGGTCACACTTGGAAGATGCCAAGGTCATCCGCTATATCCCGGGCCATCCTCAGTTGTCCTGACTTTCGTCTTGCCACTGGACTTTGATGATTCTGGAAGAGAGAGTGAGGCTGACAACTTTGTGCAACTTGGCTCTTTGGGTATCTGTCCCTGGCTTAGTATACAATGACAGGCAAGTCACTTTCCCAGTCAAGATCTGAGTTTCCTTCTCTGTAGGATGAGTGGATTGTACTTGATTATCCCTGAAAGCCCAAAGATCTCGAACTGGAAGAGATCTTAGTGTTCATCTAATCTACCACCCCACCTCAGAAGCCCAAAAGGGTTAAGTGACTTACCAAATATCACACTGATAGCAAGGGGCAGGGCTGAGATTTGATCCCAGAGCCTCTGACTCCAAACCTAGTGCTCTAGACACTACCTGGTATGGCCTCTGAGTTCTGATGAACCCTATGAACACTACCAGGCCCACAAAATAGGGAAGGTTTTTCTGAGTTACCATCTCACACCCAACAGATTGGCTAATATGACAAAAAAGGAAAATAATAAATATTAGAGGGGTTGTGGGAAAACTGGGACTCTAATGCGTTGTTGGTGGAGTTGTGAACTGATCCAACCATTCTGGAGAGCAGTTTGGAACTATGCCCAAAGGGCTATAAAACTGTGCATATACCCTTTGACCCAACAATATTACTACTAGGATGTATCCCAAAAAGATCAAAAAAAGGAAAAGGACCTATTTGTACAAAAATATTTGTAGCAGCTCTTTTGTGGCATCTAAGAATTTGAAATTAAGGAGATGCCCATCAATTAGGAAATAGCTGAACAAGCTGTGGCATATGATCATAATGGAATATTGTTGTGCTGTAAGCAATGACAACCAAGATGTTTTCAGAAAAACCTGGAAAGATTTACATGAACTGATACAAAGCAAAATGAGCAGAATCAGGAGAACGTTGTACACAGTAGGCTGCAATATCGTACAATGAACAATGGTGAATGACAGCTACTCTCAGCAATACAATGATCTAAGACAATCCCAAAGACTCATGATGAAAAATGCTATTTACCTCCAGAGAAAGAGCTAATGTCATCTGAATACAAACTGAAGCATACTATTTTTCACTTTCTTTTTTTGTTCTAGTTTTCTCGCACACAATGACTAATATGGAAATGTTTTACAAGATTTCACATGCACAACCTATATCAGATTGCATACTGTCTCGGAGAAGAGGGAGGGAAGGGATAGAATTTGGAAATCAAAACTAAAAAAAAAAAGAAAGAAAAGAAAGTTAAAATTGTTTTTACATATTATTGAGGGAAAATAATTTTTTTTTAATGGGGAAGGTTTTGTTTTTCAAAAGCAGAGTCCCATTTTACCCTCCCCTGCTTGCTGGCTGCCTCTCTAACTATGGGCAGTCATGGGATGCTCCTACTTCCTGTCCCTTCGCTCACTTGCCTGCCTGTGTGATGTGTCATACATTCCTTAAATGGCAATACCACCCTGAACTCAATAGCTTAGCACCGGAGCAAAGGAGGTGCTACATCCTAGAAAAGTTTAGAGTTTTGTATTGGGGGCAGCCACCTGTTTGTAGGATATCACATGCTTATTAAGTGCCTACCATGTGCCCAGAATTGTGCCAGGTACCAAAGAGGCTGCAGCAAAAGCAGAAGATATAAACTTTGAGAAGCTTATACTTGAACTCAGGAAATGTCATATGTAGGAAATTATTAGAGGACATAAGTAAATGACTATATATGTGTAGTGGACAGCTAGTATCAGAAGAAGAGAGGAGGATAATCCTAGCCTCTTCTGCTCTTGTCTCATTCTGGGTGTCACATTTCCAGGGAAGTTACCATGTGGGTGAGGGTACAGAAAAGGGAGACCAGGAAAATGAGAGAACTCAGAATCACAGCCCACAAGGAACCAAAGATGTTAGCCTAAAGAACAAAAGGCTTGGGAGGCTGGGGGAAGGGCAAACTTGATGGCTGCATCCAAATACCTGAAAGGTTATTGCTTGGAAAAGAAATTAAGCTATAGGGGAAGCTAGGGGGTGCACTATGGAATCAGGAGGACCTGAGTTCAAATTCGGCCTCAGACACTTGACACTAGCTGTGTGACTCTGGGCAGGTCACTTAACCCTGATTGCCTTGCAAAAAAAAAAAAGGGAAGGAAAAGGGAAGGGAAAAGGAAGGGAAATGGAAGGGAAGGGTAGGGGAGAGGAGGAGAAGGGAGGAGAAGGGAGGGAAGGGAAGGAAAAAGAAATTAAGCTGTTGTGCTTGCTGTAGGGGGTAGAAGTGGGAGAAATAGGTGGTAGAATTTCTTTTGTTTGTGTGTGTCTGTTTATACTTGAATGTGTCTGTATAAGTAGTATGTGTTTGTGTGCATGAGTATATATTGTGTTTGAATGTGCTTGTGGATGAGCCTATATTTGCATTCCTGTTCGTACTTGTGCAATTGTGATTGTGCCTATTTGTGCATGTATACAATCTTCTCTGTGTGTCTGGTCAAGAGTCTCTGAGTTATAACTGCAGTTCCCCTGATGCAAAAATCTCTGTTCATTTGCCTGTGCCTACCTGCCAGTGCCTGGCAAAAAGGAATCCTGACCTTAATGAGCACAAGGCCCTTCAGATATAGACAGGGCAATGCAGGGTTGCGGAGAGAGGGGTAAAATAGTGCCATTGACATCAAGAATCCAAAGACAAAGCAAGTGTTCCCCTGGGGCCCTCAGAAACACCAAGATCCTGCTGCAGGTGAGAGATTACAGCCCTCACCCTCACCAGGCTCACTCTTTCAATAAAAGTCAAGAGGAAAGGGAAAAGGGCAGGAGGTTCAAATGTTTCTCTACCCAGCTTTGAAGCCTGGACCCCATCCAGTCACTGCAAGTGAGTCATATCCTAGAGCTGCATTTCCTCTGTTCCTTCCAGTCTGGTCACTTCCCTCAATGACAAATTGTCCCTTTGCTTGACTGGTTCCCCTTGGAAAATCATTAATAAGGGAGTTAATAAAATCTCCTTCAGTAGAGATCTCTAAGAATTATAACATGACACATTTATATAATACAACATATAGTTAATCTACTTTCTCTGGGTCTCAGTTTCCCTATCTGTAAAATGAGGGTGTTGGATTAAATGATTCTATGGTTCCTTATGGCTCTGATGCCATTTGTTTTACTTTGAGAGGCAGAGCAGCACAGTGGATAGAGTAGTATACATGGCATCAGGAAGACCTGGGTTCTAAACTTGCTTCAGATACTTACTAGTTGTATGACCTAGGCAAGTCATTTAACCTCTCTCCCCTGTTTTCCCATATGTAAAATGGGGATAATAATAGCACCTACCTCACAGGGCTGTTGTAAGGATCAAATGAATTAACTTCTGTAAAGTACTTTGAAAATCTTAAAGCACTATAAAAATGTAAGCTATTATTATTACTTGCTAAGGTCCCTTCTAGCTCTGCTATTCATTCCGTGTTCTATCTTCTTCAGTCCCTTTCAGAGTCAACATTTTATGGTCTAAGTTCTCCAGATTCAATATTTCATATTTTGAGATCGATTCCAGATTTAACTGTCGATATTCAAAGGGCCCTTTCAGCTTTGGCATTCCACATTCTAGTATTATATGCCTGCAGGAGGGGGTTTCTGATACTCAACTTGCTCTTCTTAATAGCAGCTTAGAGCAAGAGGGTTAGTACAAGCCATTTTTCAGGTGAAGAAAACAAACATAGAAATATGAAGTGACTTCCCCAAGTCACACAGGAGGGTTAAGAGTATACAGGCACACACCCCTGCATCCTGGGCCATTGCTGATCCTCTTGACCTGTGTCTTGCTACTGGACTCCAACTCCAGAGGAGAAAGTGAGGCTGATGACTTTGCTCAGCTGTGCCCCACTCATCCAATTCGCCACACCCTTGTGATGTCATTGGTCTTCTTTGAGAAGAAAGGACAGATAACAACAACAACAACAACATGGCATTTCTGAGCTAGAATAGACTTATGCCAGAGGTAAGGGGAACCTCAGAACAGAAATGTAGAATGGCAGAGCTGGAAGTGACTGGGGTCAAGAAAAGTGAAATGATTTGCCCGAGGGCACACAGCAAGTTACAGGCAGAGCTAAGTCTAGAAGTGAGGTCAGAATTCTAGTTGTGCACCTACCATCATAACACACTGTTTCCTATTGTTTATGTGCTAATACGGAGGGAGGGAGGAAGGAGAGAGGGTGGTCCAGAAATGTGATTTGGTGGGTATAGGGAACTCCCAGTAAGAAAACTAGCTCTGCCAATGTAGATCAACAACTGTTTTGCAACTTGTAGCCTTAGCCAATTGCCTAGGGGCACTGAGTGATTAAGTGACTTGCCCAGAGTCACACAGCCTGTCTACTTCAGAAGCAGGACTTGAGACTAGGTCTTCCTCACTCCCAGGCAGGTTCTCTATTCACTATCCCAAAGTGCTTCTCCTACAATAGTGTGGAGCAAACAATCCTGAGAAATAAGTTGGGTTTTTTTCCCCAAAAAACTGCCTAGGGGAAAAAAATCTACCTTTTGATAAAGGTCTGTGGTCCTTGGAGTTCTGCCAGGGGGCTGGTACTGGTGGAAATTTTCTAGTAGTAGAGGTAGATTGCTCAGCCCCAAATACTGGCACAAATATGTGGAATATAATTACACAAAGAGGAAAATATACTCAAATGCCTTATCTGTGTCAAAAGTATTTTAAAATTTTCCTGTAAAATGTATAACTGAATCCGCTGATAAAATACTGAAATATAAAGCTGGAAAGCATATCTGATCTCCTCTCTTTTCCAGTCTATTTCACTAACAGAAGAAAGGGAACAAAAGCCCCATGAATCTTAGAATCCTAGCTAGTTAAAGCTAAAAAAAAAAAAGAGAGATCTTGATACAATAGAGCTTAAAGAGACCATGGAATATGGAACATTACTCTCTCTCTCTCTCTCTCTCTCTCTCTCTCTCTCTCTCTCTCTCTCTCTCTCTCTCTCTCTCTCCCTATATATATATGTATGTATGTATGTATATATATTATATATATATATACACACACACGCATATATACATACACATATACATATATAATGTATAATATGGAACATATCGTATGGGACATTACAACTAGAAGGAACTTTAGAACATACAGCAGCGATTGTCAGGGGTTGGAGGGAGCAGTCCTTAGAATATAGAACGCTACAGTGCTTGAAATACACTATAGAAAGCCTTAGGATATAAAATGCTATAATGCTCAGTGTTTGAAAGGTTGTTAGAGTTAGGGACACACAAGGCTGCAGAGTGTCCACCTAGAACACTCTTTCAGCTCTCCCTCAGCACACACCAAAAAAAATCAGCAGATGTTAATTCAGTTCAGTAATAAGAAGGAAAGAACAGCTAAGGGAGGAATCAAATCACGGTACTAGAGCAGGAGACTTATCTAGGGCTGAAGGAAAGGGGACTGAAACCCAGCTCAGGTCGATCCTTCCCTCCCAGAAATTACTCAGGACAGCAACCCGATATCTCCCAAAGCAAGGAGGCTGAGGCAGCCTTGAAACCTAGCCTGGGGTGGGGGGGGGTGGGGGGTGTTGTATCCACTAGCAAAGGAGGTCCATAATGTGACAAGGTAACAGAAGAGAGAGACAGAAACAGAAAGGGAAGATTTCAAGAGAAAAGCCTCAATAAAAGCCCTAACTCTAGCAGAGAGATCATCTGAGAAAATCCTAAAACCAGAATGTTGAGTAGGAAATTATTATGGATAATAGGCTTGGCTAGGTAGACCACGAAAGGCTTTAAATTAAAAGGTAGAGAGCTTAGGGAAGCACACCCAGTACAGACATATTAAACTTTCATCAATGTGCCGTCCCCTAGAAGACCAACATGTGGGGAACCAGGAAAGATTACTAGGTTCCCAAAACACATATATATTAAATTTCGCATTGGGGAAAAAAATTCTGCAACAACCTTGGCTACTCACATCCCAACTCAACCCCTCCAGACCCAAAAGGCAACACAGAGCAGCAGATCTATTTTAGCAAAATGAGCATTTGTTTAAATGAAGCTGCCAAGTCAAAGAATCCAGATTTCTCTTTTTCTCCCTCTCTGAAAAGCCACAGATATAAATAAGCCCAAGATGATCTGTTTCTGCCACAACTGATAAGATGAGGCAGACGCCTGCCAAACAGACCTGAGTTTATTTCAACTTCAAAAAACAACCGGGACAGACCAGTCTCTGGACCAGCCTGTTCGAACCTGGACAACAACTTTAGAATTCTTAACTATCTTTCACCAGGGCTGTCTTGGCAGAAGGAACCAACCTGGGCTAAGTGGCTGGTGGGAAGATAGGAGAGCTGCCACAGAGAACATACTCCTCCGTATCCATGAAATTCCAGCTTCGTGGAAACAGATCTCTATAAGCTAAAGCAAAGACACTCACAGGATAAGCTCCAGGCTTACATAAGGGACACCTCAGACTTTCATCCTTAAATGCCTTCCACCTGTTTTCCTTCAAGTTTCATTGTTTAGCGTATACTATCAAGTATTACTCAGTATCAATCTGTATTTTGAAGACACAGCAAGTTTACTTACAGCTAGGTGGAGCTATTTGTTAGATAGAGCACTGGGTCTGGAGTCAGGAAGACAGTTCAAATGCAGCATCAGTCATTTACTAATTTTGTTCTCTGGGAGAGCCACTTAACTTTGTCTGCCTTGCTTTCCTCAACTGAAAAACGGGGATAATAATAGCACCTACCTCCCAGGGTTATTGTAAGGATCAAATGAGGTAATATTTCTAAAGCACTTACCATGGTGCCTGGTACATAGTAGGTGCCTAATAAATGCTTGTTTCCTTCCTCCTCTTTCCCTTAAATGGGGCAGCATGGTATAGTCATGCAGGGGTAGGGAACCTGCAACCTTGAGGTCTTTCTTGGGCTAATGAAATTCAACAGAGAAAGGGCCTGCTTTGGGGCAGCTAAGTGGTAGTGGATAGAGCATCCAGCCTCAAACACTTGACACTTACTAGCTGTGTGACCTTAGGCATGTCACTTAACCCCACTGCTTAGCCAAAAAAAAAAGAATAAAAGAATAAAAAAAAAATATTCATGCCTTCAACCTATCCTATTACACTTGATGAATGAGGAAAAAGACATGCCTGATTTAAGAAGGGATGTCCAAACTATACGGGTTTTGCCCTCAGGATCTTAGACTATTAGGCCTGGAAAGGCCTTCAGAGATCTTCTTAAATATTTTTCAGAAGAGGAAACTGAGGCCCAAGGAATGGAAGTGACTTGCCCAAAGTCACACAACAAGTTAATGGCAGAGATAGGAGTGGAACCCAGGTTTTCCTGACTGTTAGCCCACTGTTCTTTCCACTACACTAATTACGAGAGGTTAGCAGTTTGTCAGAAATTATCTACCTCAAACTGCCCCTTTGGAATTGTCTCAGAGAGATGTCGATTAATGAATCAATAAGCATTTATTATGCACTTACGATGGTCAGGCACTGTGCTAAACACTGGAGACACCCAAAAAGGCAAAAATACAGTCCCTGCCCTCAAGAAGCTTTCATTAAAATGGTGAAGACAACATGCAAAGAATGACACATGCGAAATGTATACAGCATGAATGTCTCTGAGGTCACTTAAAAAGTTATCCACATTTATTAAGTACTAATGATGTGACAGGCATTGTGCTAAGCACTGGGGAGAGAAAGAAAGGCAAAAAACAGTCCCCTGCTCTCAGGGAGCATCTCACATCGTAATAACAATACCCCTTACTTTAAAGCTTCCAAAGTGATTTGCAACCAAGTACCATGTAAAGTAGGTAGCACATTATCGTCCCCATTTTACAGATGAGAAAACTGAGGCTTGCAAAGAATACATGATTTTCTGAGAGTCAAACTTCAAAACTCAGGTGTCCTAACACTAGGTCAAAAAAGCTCTTTGTGGGGCAGCTAGGTGCCACAGTGGATAGAGCACCGGCCCTGGAGTCAGGAGGACCTGACTTCAGCTTCAGACCAAACACTTGACACTTACTAGCTGTGTGACCCTGGGCAAGTCACTTAACCCCAATTGCCTGACAACAACAACAACAAAAAAAAAGCTCTTTGCAAGACAACAAACATTTTATGGTCACCCAACTTCCATTATTGTATTTTGTCACACAAAAAACCCCCTAAGAAAGGGGTTCTTAAACTGGACTACATGAACTTTCCTTTTTTTGTATTTTGATGACTTTATTTCTACATAATCCTAGGTATTTTATTTTATGCATTTAAAAACAATATTCTGAGAGGAATCCATAGGTTTCAACAGTCTTCTTTAATGTAAGTTTTATATAAATATATGCATATATTATGTCTACATTTACATAGATAGAGATATAATCATCATCCTTTTTTACACATAAGTAAACAGATTCAGTAGGATCAAGGTCATCTTTTGCAAAGGATGGAGCCAGTACTTGACCCCAGGACTCCAGACTCCAAGCACAGTAATTTTTCCATTTCATGAAGCTGTTATTCTTTTATCTGATTTGGAAGCCGATTATTTAAACTATACTAATGGATAGGGAAAAAAATAGGAAGTAATATTGTTTGACAGCTTGGACTAGTTCGTCTCAGACTCAAACCAAGAGACAATGCATTGGTTGTGAACCGGTCCAGACTATTTGAAATGTGTGCACACAGCGCCACCTGCGGGCAGAATGAAGCTGATTCAAGCAACCTGTCTCCAAGGGCACATGGACTTCGTGCCCTGAGGGAAATTCACTGGCCTGGCCACATGAAAGCCTCAAGCTTAGAATTCACGGGAGGGACTGGAGAAGCAGAGAAATGAGAACCATTTAAATTTCAACAACCAGTGCCTATTGTGTGCAAAACTCTGTATTTAGCATCAGGGTTTAGTAGCAAAGGCCAAAATACTTCCAGATATTCTTATAGATTCCTAAAGCATCCAAGCTGGAAAGGGCCTTGGAACATATAATACCACATCTAGAAGGGACTTTAGGACACAGAACATGGAATATTAGACCTGGAAGGAAACTTAAGATATGTAATATATTGGATATAGAAGAGATAACAAGACATTATTCTAATCTTCTTTCAGATTAAAAAAAAAAACAGATCTAGTTGGGGCAGCTAGGTGTCGCAGTCTATAGAGCACCCGCCCTGAAGTCAGGAGGACCTGAGTTCAAATCAGGCCTCAAACCAGATACTTGACACTTACTAGCTGTGTGACCCTGGGTAAGTCACTTAACCCCAATTGCCTCACCAAAAGAAAAAAGAAAGAAAAAAACAGAGCTAGAGAGGGGAGGTGATTTGTTCAGGGTTATCTAAAAGAAATTAAGCAATACAGTAAGAACGCAAGCTTCCTGGTTCCCAGACCAGTGCTCATCCTTCCCAACACATTTCACTCTCTTTAATAAATGTTTTCACTTCAACAACCTGAGAGAAATTTACTTAATAGGAACTAGAAAGGTGCCCCCCTCCCACTGAGGGAGTTGGGGTGGGACTGGGGAAATAGATAAGAGGTCATCAATATGAACAGATCAGATAGTTTCATTTCAGATGCTTGGCCAGGCCATTTCCTCAGTCTCTGGCTGCAGTCCATAGCTGCACTCTCCTCCAGAGAGAAGGGCATTTCCTGGTTACTGCTATCATTATTCCCTTCATGGACAAGTGACATGATTTCATTGTCCTTCCTTCTGTCAGAGACTATCTGGGAGTCCTTGCTCTCGCCTTCCTACAGTTAGAGAGGGATTAAAGAGAGGCACCAAAGTAAAAGAACAGCCTCAATGGCTTTTTCCTTAGGAAAAGCATCTAAGGGGCACAAGAAGGGAAGTTAGAAAGAATCTTGCTCTGCCCGCAGAAGTGATGGTTCAGCTCTCTTGCTTTCCCAGAATGCATTGCCCCCACATGGATCCCACCCAGTCCCTGCTCCCAGGCTGGGGAAAATGCTACCTATTAGCCTTCCTCACTAAATTATTAAGTCCCTCCATAGAAGCACCACTTTAAGTACTCTTGTCAATAAGAATAAGTCCTAGCTCATATTTAAACGAACCTTGGAATCATGACTCCTCCAAATGAGCAGATTCACTTTGGGATTTTGAGAAATTGCTTTTCCCACCAATGGGACTCTTTTCTTCCCTTGTTGGTCTGAAACAAAGAGTCAAAAGGCAGTCATTTAGGCTGTGGGCCTCCTGCCTATTAAAGCTTCAGGGCTCTAAGGAGCCAGTGCTTTCAGGCTCCAACCAGGCACTTCCCATAAACAATTATCCCTGCCTTTTATTAATTGAGCTCATGCTATCATGAAGAAGATGGATGAGAGCCGGAGAACTATTGCCGAGATCTGTGGAAGAGATTGATGGGGGAGGGGAAGGGGGATCGTACACAATTCTCTCTCTGGCCTTTCATGCTTCCTGATGCCAGCTTGGGGAGCATTAGCAGTAACTGATCTGGCTATGCCTCCTGCTCCCACCAAAGACCAAAAGCAGCCTTTACCACGGCGCTGATGCAGAGAAAAGAGCAGACCCTCATCCCATTGGCTCAATGAGGCCGAGGACAAAGCACTGCCAGTATTCCATCTTGGGGAAGCAGGTTCAGTATAACGTTAGCAAATATTCAGGCACTTGCTTTCTCATCTCCAAGGTACATATATACTCCCTGTCGTACCCCCCCACGCAACAATGCAACAAAAGGTCATTGCTATGTGTGCCAATAACTTATATTTGTCTTAATTCAACTCAAACATTCATTCCTGCGTGTAGAGGGCTTAGCTAAGACACAGCCATAGAATTAAAAGATTCAGAGCAGGAAGGGGCCTTAGAGATAGTTTAATTCAATCCTCTTATCTTACAAGAGGAACCTAAGGATCACACAACCTGTGTGACCTGAGGCAAGGTCACTTACCCTCTCTTGCCTCAGTTTTCCTCATCTATACCAGACTGCACAACTTGGCAGTAGGTAGGGACCAAAATTAAAATAGGCTAAATTTCTTCAGGCTGCAGATAGGTTTTTAGCAGCTCGATTTCAAAGTAAAGGTATAATTAATGATTAAACTATTTCTCAAAAACACTTTTTTTTAAAATCAGGACATAATGCAGAAACTGCAATCAGCAAACAGTTTTTTATAAAGTCACCTTCAGTAAAAGACTTTCCAGCAGCAGCAATTTCTTTAGAAATCTGAAAACTAATGTTAGTAGCTGCCTCATTTTCTGAGTTTACTTTCTTGAAAAACCATTGGTGGCCACTATGATTTTTCAACAATTTGGACACTTCAGTTTGTTTTCCATTGGTGTCCAATTTGCTTAAGTCAGGATATTTTGATTCAAAATGGCAACAAAGATTGTATTCCTTCAGAAAACAGCTATTACATCTCAGCAAACAAGGCGCAACATTTTGTCTTTTGTTTAAGTAAACAAGTAACTATTTGAACACTCCGGATTGAACACTCCATGTTCTGATTCAATCTTCTGTTTCCTTTTATCACCCATTTTACAAAGTCATCCCAAAAACGTTAATGTTAGAACCAAAAAATCTCTGCAGCAACTGCTCACATACAAAGAAATACTGGACTGAGTATATGACCTTGGAGAGAGCGACAGACATTCATGTAACGTGGAGGACAGCTGAGCATCGAGGGAAGGGAAGAAGCCTTCGACTTGTTGCCACTCAGCATAGCAGGCGGCAGCTCTGTTGGCGCGTGGCTGCACTCAGGCCCTGTTCAACACCAGTAGCAACAAAAACACAGCAAAAAAGATATGCCTCTCACTCCTCTCAGACTAGAGACAGACTGACAATGGTTAGACTGACATGATAGACAGAGTGAGCAGCGGCAACCCACCCAAGTTACATGATGGGCACAATAGTGAGTAGTGGAACACGGGTTAAGAGGGGCATGGACAAAGCATTCATTCCATTTTTACTTTCTTTTACATCCTCTACATTTTTCACAAGCCACTTAAAAGCCTTTAGCGGCCACGAGCAGCCTGCAGGCCATATGTTGTGCAGGCCTGATCTATACAATGGGGTTCTTAACTAGGGGTCCATAAATTTTTTTAAAAATATTTTTCAAATTGTATTTGAATATAATTGGTTTCCTTCATGAGCCTACATAGTTGATGTATTTAAAAACATTATTCGGAGAAGGGATCCATAGCCCTCGTCAAACCTCCAAAGAGGTCTATGACACAATAAAAGATTAAGACCACCGTGGCTAGATTTCTAAATTCCCTTTATCTGACCTGGAATAGTCCTAATAAAAAGAGCAAAGGAATGCAAGAAACAATAGAAAGGAAGAACTGACAGAGTTTGGTGATTAATTGGATAAAAGGGATAAAAAGAGGATGAGTGAAAGAGAACCATAATGTTTTCAGCTTAGGGAAAACCCTTCTCTAGCAAACTGCCCCCACTACTCTCCTTGCTAATAGCTCTCCATTTCTCAGCTGAACTCTGAACTAAATTACACTAGATGCTTTCTCTCAGTCTTTTCTAAACCATCTCCAATCTGACTTTTGGCTTCACCATTCCATTGAAACATCTCCCTCAAAAAAAAAAACAAACTTTTTTTCAATTAACAGGCATTTAATTTATCTACCTCCCATTTCCTCCATTCTGCCCAGGACAAGGGGCAGGATGGGGATGGGGGAGGAGGAATCCTTTTTAACAAATCTACATAAACAAATTTCTGAATCAGCCAAGTCCAAAATTATTTTGCACCTAAAAACCATTATCTCTCTGTCAGGAGATGGATAATATGGTTCATCATTAGTCTTCTAGAATTGTAGTTTGTCATTTTATTGATCAGTTCTCATCTTTCAAAACTTTTTTCTTTGCAATGCTATCATTGTAAAGTGGTTCTCCTAGTCCTATTCACTTCACTCTGCGTCAGTTCATAGTTTTCCCAGGTTTCTCTGAAGCCATATCTTTCATCTTTTCCTATGATACAATAATAGTACATTGCTTTATATACCATAATTTGTTTAGCCATTTGCCAATGATGGGCACCTCTTGGTCTCCAGTTCTTTGCAGTAACAAAAGGAACTGTTATAACTATTTTCATACATATAGATCTTTCTTTTCTTTGATCTCTGAGGTTGAAATTATTATTTTACTATTAAATTAATAACTAATTATTAATTTGGAATCCATTCTTTTCTCCTTTAAGATCCAGCCCCTGTACAAAGTCAGTCTCTGAAGAACATGACGGATTGATGAGACTGTCCTAGCCCTCAAGGTACACGCTCTTCTGTTTAGAGTATAAACTGAATCCAGTCCATACTTGCTCTTACCCCAAGGAAATGAGCCGCTGTCCTCCATTAGAATTTAGAGTGACCCAACTTATGAAGGAGAAAACCAACTAGAGTGGTCTGGATGTAGATGGATTACCCTGCCCAGATTGCTAGAGATGGCCAAGTCTCATTATTTAGAGCTTTCAGGCTGTCCATGTCTTTTGTCTTTGGTTGCCAAGAGAAACCACTGACCATCAATTTATTATTGGCTGATCTAATAGATTATTAATTACCCAGAAACTCTGTCTCTAGGGTTTTTTCATTAGTCACAAGATATAGGACTAGTAGTGGTTGTTGTTTGTCCTTCATTCTGGAAAAGAACCATGACTTCAGGAAGTGATGCCATGACAGGCAAGTGAATTGGATTTAAGTGAGGGAGTGCTGTGCAAAGTCACCAGCCTCACTTTCTCCTCTGGAGCCATCTGGGTCCAGTGGCCAGATACAGATCAGGACTGCTGGAGATGGCACCAAATGAAGTGGGAGACCTTGGCCTTTTTAAGTTAAGGTCTTTCCCAGGTCTCAGTTTGACTGAGGCAAAGACCATTCAGTGATTAAGGCTAGGTAAGAAATGAGGCAAAGAATGGCTTCTTTTACCTACTCAAAAAAAAAAATCAGTCTGAGAAAGACCCTCAGGATTTCTGGCCAAAACAGAAACAATTACTGTAAATAGCAACTAATAGGGGTATCACTGGGTCAAAGTGTATGTAGTCTAATGATTTTGTAAATTTTCCAAATCATTCCTTCTCCAGTTACCAATGATCTCTCAATTGACAAATCTGATTACCTTTTCTTACTCCTTTTCCATTACCTGGGGTTTTATGACAGTGTTTTCTCTAGGTTCTTCTGACTGCTTCTTCTCAGTCTTCTTTGCTGGATACTTATCCATATTACAATTAACCATGGATGCCCCTCAAGTCTGTTATAACCCCTCTTCTCTTTAAATTATCACTTGGTATAACTATCTTTTCTATATAGATAACTCCCAGATCTATATCTAAGCTAGTTTTACACCTGAGCTTCGGTCCTACTTCATATTTCCAACCAGTAAAGATAGGAATCTCCAAATTAACATACCCAAAACATTCCTTTAATACCCACCCATCCATAATTTTTTTTCTACTAAGGGCACTAACAGCTTTTCAGCCACCTAAGTATCTGCAATATAAAAATCTTCATTGATTCTTCCCTTTCCCTGGTCCCCCATATCCAAACAGTTAACAATCTTATTGATTCTACATCCCATCTGTCTCCTTTCGATTCACAGAGCCAACACCCTAGTAGTCAAGAGCCCTCATCTCACCTGGAGTACAACTTCCTAACTGGTCTCCTTCCAGCCAGCCTTTAATTCATCCTCCACACAACTTACAAATTACAACAGAATTGTCTGTAAGACAAAACACAAACTACTCTTCTTCACACATTGTATTTCCATACTGGTCTACTAGATGTTTCTTCCATAGCACATTCCATCTCACACTCTCAGCTTTTTCATAGGCTGTACAGCATGCTCAATTTACTCACTCTACTCATCTCTTCCAAACTTCAGCTCAAGTTTCACCCTTAAGACCTATCCAGATATCCCCAATAAAGAATTTACTTTCCTGTATTCATTTCCTCCAACATAAGGAATGAACCATCTTAGAATTGTCATTTTCAGTTGTCTAACTATTCATGACCCCATTTGGGGTTTTCTTGGCAGACACCGGAACGGCTTGCCATTTCTTTTTCCAGCTTATTTTGCAGATCAGAAAATTGAGACAAACAGGGCTGACTTGTCTGGAGTCACACAACTAGCATACAAGGTCCAATATGAACTCAGGAAGATGTCTTCCCGACTCCAGGCCTAGCACTCCATCCACTGCACCACCTAGCTGCCCATGTTCGAACTAAAACAATAAAGTGCCTACTATAAGTAAACCACTGTGCCAAACACTGGAATTACAAGGACAGTCCCCCCTCAGAACATTACATTTTATGGGAAGACGTGGAGATTCAACACATGCAAAATAAGACTAAAAACCACTGGCAGTCCATTTCGGTTAGAAATAATTGAGCAGGCCAAGCATGTTTAATAGCCCAGTTAAAGCAGATATTGGGGGAAGAAAATAGCATTAAGACTTGCCAACTTGGATTGAACATATGGAATGGGTGATGAAGGGAAAAAAACTAGTCCAAGATGACTATAAGAATGCACCAAGTTTAGAGAAAGGACAGGAAAATGAGCTTTTTGGTGCTTGAGAGCCATGGGCAATCTAGCAGATAGAGTTCAAGAATGAAAAGATACACTAGCACAGAAAGCTAGGCAACACACTCATACTACTAAGACCAAGCTAAAGATAAGCAGAGTCAAGAACCAGAATTAAAAGAACATGTTCAGGAAATGAGGGATGGCAGGGCCACAAAGTCAGAAGACTAAAGGACTGAGATTACTTGTTACCTTGATCTCAAGGTGGGGGATGGAAACCAAATGGGCATAGTGGAAAGATGACAATTAGTAAAGTAACAGGAGGGCAGGCTTAGTAACAAGTAACCAATATGTTTAATCTAAGGGAGACACAGGTCTCCCTTAAATCCAGGCTACCCATTTCCTTTTAAAAATTTCTTCTACATATATCTTGAAACAAAAGCACAGATAATCAAGTTAACAAATTTTTTATTTGCAAAATATAAAACAAGACTCTTTTATTCTAATAACAGCTGGAACAGCCAAGTCCATGTTTCATATTCATAAGCAAAGGCTGTCTCTTCATTTAAGGCCACACCTCAGATTTTTCAAGTCTCCATATTTCACTTCATCATTTCAATTGGTCATCCACCAATTTTACATTCCTATGGGGGGAAAAAACACAGTGGCAATCCTTTGTTAAAGGTGCTTAACCATGCAAACATAATTTTATTTCTTTGGTTATATGCTCACTTTTATTATGTTGTTTTAGTAATGTAAAGATTCATTACCCTCTTGTATTATGGCAATCAATCCCTCACACTTTACACATGAAACATATTAGGGGGGAAGGGCTCAATAGTGATTAGCTATCCAGAATCCATATAACCAACTCCAGGATCTGATGGAAATCAGACAAGTTTTGGCTTAAATGTTCCTGATCAGCATTGTCGATCAGTTGGGGAAAAAAGTTTTAGTCATCATGTACCACAGGTCTGGAGATTTTTCTTTTGATCAAGGAATTTTGATAAAGTTTAGCTCTTAAACACTACACTACCCTTTATATGTTCCAAACAGCAAAAAATGTCATCTGTAGCAACAAAATGAATTTCCGGAAATTCACCTACCTTTAAGGAAAGCTGGGTACTTCGAACACCATTCTTCGTGTCTGTATGGTATTAGACAGTCATCACTGGCACCCTAACACCTTCGACTCATTTTAAGAGCTAGCCTATAAAATATATGTCCCAAAGAGTGAGAATGCTATTTAACAAACTAAATGATAAAAACTATGTTGAAACTGGTGTGTCAGAAAAAACTGGCAAAGAATAGTTAGGATCAACATGGTCGATCTGATGGGGAAAAAAGTTTAATCATCATACACACCAGTCTTAAAATACGTATTGCGTGCTTGTTGACTGATATAGTGGCAGGGTGATTTTTAAGTCACTTATACCTTTGGCACACTTCCTGACAACCCAACGAATATGAAGCAACACCAATATACAACTATTATGGATCAGTAGATGTAACTTACCAATCCTCCCAGGGACTGCAAATCCAACAATCTGATCCAAATCAAATCACTGGAATGGGTATCAAGTCTGAAAAGTAACAAACCCGGGTACAAAAGTTAATCCAATATTGGACACCCAACTGACATGGAGCATTTTTTTTTTGCTGGTATATCAGAAAAAACTGGCAAAGAATAGTAGGATCAACAGAGTCGATCTGATGGGGAAAAAAGTTCAGTCATCATATATACCAGCAGCAGGACCTACAGCTCTAGAAAGTCATCATCCACCAGCCTCTAAAATTACTTGGTATAAAGTTATTAGGTGAATGTGTGGTTCTGGGTAAATCTCTTAAGCTTTATGATAAATCACCTGGCATCCTAATTAAACCAAACTTTAAAAAAGCAAACAATTTCACAAACGCACTCACATGGATTCAAGACAGCACAGCTCTCGAGGTCCTGATTTCCTAACTGCCTCGGAAATACAGGTGACTACTATGTTTTGATTAGCTGTGATGATCATAATGGTTAGACAAGGCTTTTCATTCATTTTATCCCCATTCTCCCATTCCTCATCTCTACCAAGCTTCCCTGGCTTCAAGTTCCAGGTAGAATCCCACTTTCTACCAAGAAGCCTTTCCCAAGAACTCTTAATTCTAGAGCCTGCCTTCTGTTGATTATTTCCTATACAGCTCACTTGACTATATTATCTTCCCTGCTAGACTGAGCTCCTCAGGCCCAAAGACTACATTTACCTTTCTTTGTATTCCTAGTAAAGGTGGGGATGGGAGAAAGAATGTCATTTATAAGGGTGCTTCCCTCTGTACTGGGAACTGTGCTAAGTGTTTTACAACTGTCTCATTTGATCCCAACTCTATTACCCTCCTTCTACAGGTGAGGAAAGTGAAGAAAGCAGAGCTGTGACTTGCCCAAGGTTATGAAACAAAAATGTCTCAAGCAGCATTAAAACTCATTTTCCAGACTCCAGGCCCAGCAGCTATCTCTAGCAGTGTCTGGAACAACATAAGCCCTTAAGTGTTTACTGACTGACAGTTCACTTTTTATCCTGTGCAGTTTTCATTTATGATTTGAAATATAGCTCTGAAAAAAAAAGGCTTTAAAAAAGCCTGCTGTGTTTCAATTGGAGCTACTTGATTAAACCTTTAAATCCAAATCACTTTGGTCAATAATAGCCCCCAGCCCAAGATTATGCTTCTAGGGCACAGAATGAGTGTAAATACCAATTATTTTCTGTTCTGGTCAAAAACTATGAGGGTCTTCCCCTCCCAGACTGACATTTTTGCAACGGTGAATTAGGCCATCTTTTTCTCAATTCCTACCTAGCCCTTGGTCTTTAAATGGGTGTTTCTTCAGATAAACTGAGACAGGGAAAAACCTTAATTTAGAAAGATGAAGGTCACCCATGGCAAGTCAAGAAACACATGTCTATCATTTGTACTAAGGAACAACAAACCTCACACATAAAGAGTAACCTTGGCTTTAATTCAAAACAGGTACATCTACAGATTTAGAACAGCTAACTCTTAGCTACCTTTAATCCAAATTCTTGCTTACCTGATGAAATCAGACCCAGCATGGGGTCATCGTGCCTGAACACCCAGGTCTCCAAAATCCCCATAACATGCCTCTCTCCTCTTTCCCAAAGCAGTCCTGTGAAATAAAAACAAAAAAGGTCATAATCCAGCGAAGGCCTGACTTTCCTGGGCTGGTGCATCAGAACTAAACTGGCAAAAATTCAAAGACATCAGCAAGGTCGATCTGATGGGGGAAAAAAAATCTGAGTCATCATTTACACCAGCCTGTACTTTAAACTACAATTCACCCTCTGGCCTTCAAATCAAGAAAAATAACAATGCTCGCAGCCCTTTTCTGATGCCTCAGGCTAGCGTGGGGCATCCTGAGAAACAGTGAATAGGAAGGATATTGAGAAAGTGATCCAAAAGGACTGAAGCTTTGGACAAGAATACAACCCCTTCAATTTTCAGGAAAGGAAAACCCAAATTAGGGCGTAGAGGAGTAGTGCAGCCTGGACAAAATGAGCTCAGAGCTCGGGCATCCGAGGTCTACGCTCTTTACGCCCCACCACCAGAGGGCCGTGGGCTCACCCCCACCTTTCTTTGGACCTCAATGGAGAACTTAACCCTGTACCTACGCAGCCCTATGGGTTGCGAGCACGAGGCGGCCGGGCCCAGGCCTACCTGAGCGCGCTTGAGAAGCCAAGCGCGTTAAAGTGGAGGCTGCGCCAAGGGCACTTGGGCTGCGAGCCCATGGTGGGCCTGAGACCCGTATGGAACCCTGGAAGAGACATGAAGGGAGAAGACGGAACTCACCACCAAGGGACATTCCAGGACCACGATGGCTCCGGATGGATGAGGATACGGAGCAACCACGGAGGCAGCGGAGATGGAAAAAGAGGAAGAAAGGCCGCGAATCTCCCTTATATAAGGCAGAAATGCCCCGGCGCCTGCGCGTTACACACATCCTGGCCCTGCATGGCTCTCTGGGAAATGTAGTCTCCGGGCTTAAAGAAGCTGCAGGATGAGGATGGTATAAAAAGTCCTGCAGCGGTTGCTAAGGGTTGATGTCGGTTGCTAAGGCTTGATCCCGCCCCGGCCTGACCCTCTCCCAAGCCCGGCCGGAGTGGAGTCTCCGCCATGTTGCTCTTCCCTTTCTTTTTCAAACCCCGAAGCGACCAGGGGCCTGGGTCCGTAGGTGTTCCCTCCCTCCTTCCCGCTTTACCCCACCCGGGGCTACGCTCTCCCGGGCTGGGTCGAACACTGCCTTCAGGGCCAGGGGGATATTGCCCGGGCCGCCCATTCCTTGGCCCCCAGGGCCGGACCCCGGCCCCGAGAGCTTCCTCCGCCTCGGGGGGAGGGAGGCGGGCCCACGCCGCGGGCCCCGGATCCTCGCCCGGATCCAGCTCCTCCCTCCGGCCCTCCCTCGCTCCGCCCGCCCTGCCCGGCTGTTGAGGAAAGGAAACTGAAAGTGGAGTCGGGGCCGGGCGGGGCCCGACCGACCTGGGCCCGATTCCGAGCCGGAGCCAGACCGGAGCAGGCGGCGGTGGCGAAGGCAGCTCCTGGAGCCCCGGTGAGTGTCGGCCGCTCTCCCCGCCCCCGCCCTGGCTCCCCAGCATCCCTCCTGGGGCCCAGCATCCCTGCCCTCGGCCGATCGCTGCCGTCCCGCTTTCCCCCATTTTCCCAGTCCCCCCTCCCATAGCCCCCTGCCTCGCTAGGCTCCCCATTTCAGCTCTAGCCCCGCCATAGCGCTGCTCCCCGGAGCTGACATCCCCCTCCCCGGCCACATTTAAGCTACATTTCCGCCACCCGGTCCCCAGGACCCTGCGATTAGTACCGCCCCTCCCCCAGTTCTCGCCCCCAACACCTCATCTTCTCACCTGTCTTTCTTCCAGAACTCTGCCGCTTGTCACCTTGTCCATCGGTGGATTAGTGTAAATCCTCATTCTTCTTCCTCCTGCATGTCTTTCCTTCCCCCCCCTTACACCTAAACCTTTAAATCCACCCCCACCCCCTTTCCTCAGCATCACCTTTTTTTGTTTGTATTCTTCCCTGTTCCCCCCCCTTCCCCCATGCCATAGTCCAGGCTTGGTTTCCCTCAACCATCCGGGTAGATTGTGTTTCTGTGTTATTATTTTTAAACAGCATGAAGGAAGAATTTTACTCTCAAAAAAAAAAAAAGGCTGAGGCTATAAGCCTGCATTATGAGGCCCGGTTTGATGATGAGCAGAAGAGATCTGGGCTGGGAAGGAGTCACCAAACGTTATACCCAGGCTAGTGGACTTCTTTGTGATGAGTGCCCTTCCTCCATATCACTAATTTCAAGCTAAAATAGCCAGTTTTCAACCATGAAAATTTTAAACTACATTTCAGGGAAAGGCATAGATTAAAAAAACTGTTTTCCTATGTGAGTCACACCCCCACCACTACCGTTATGAACTAGCATTTTGTTAAGCTCTCACTTTCTGCTACCTGGACCTAGGCTCTGGGGATTCGAAGTTAACGACAGCCTCGGCCCTCAAGGAACTTACATTCTCGGCGGGGGTTAGGCATTTGGAGTTAAGTGACTTGCCCAGGGTCACACAGTTAGTAATCGTCAAGTGTTTGATCTGAGGTTGGATTTGAACTCAGGTCCTCCTGACTTCAGGGCCGGTGCTCTATCCACTGCGCCACCTAGCTGCCCCAAGGAATTTGCATTCTTATGGAAATAACATGCAAAGAGGATATCTAGCATGAAATGGGAGGTAATTCCTGTGGGCAGGCCCTAGCTATGAAAGGAAAAAAACCTCTCGCAGAAGGTGAGATTTGAACTGAGGAGCTGGAGAGGCAGAGGTTGCCATCCAATTCTAGGGAAGAGCCAATGAAAAACCAGTGGAGGCTAAGTACCATCTCCAGTTGGTAAAGTAAGTGGAAGAGGGGATAAAGTATAAAAAGAGTGGAAAGGGGGAAATGGGCCACATTATGAAGGATTTTAAAAGCCAAACAGGATTTTATAGTTGGTCCTGGAGGTAAATAGGAAATCACTGGTTTATTGAGTAAGGAGATGTAATGGACAGATCTGCTTCAGAATCAGGCTGTGTTAGACTAGACCTACCCTAAAAGAGCTTCCTCTTCCTATATTGGCTGTCATGAAAGATGTGGCAAATTTCTAACTCAAGAAAAAAACTACCTTGTTGGAGATCTCAGGACTAAGAGCTGAGTACTTTTGATTTCTGAAATACTAATTTGCTATGTAACATTGTCGTTTAATCATTTTCAGTCATGTCCAACTCTTCATGACCCTATTGGGGTTTTCTTGGCAAAGAAACTGGAGTGTTTGCCATTTCCTTCTCCAGCTTATTGTACAGATGAGGAGACTGAGGTGAACCAGGTTAAGTGACTTGCCCAGGGTCATACAGCTAGCAGGTGTCTGAGGCTGGATTTGAACTAAGGTTTTCCTAACTTCAGGCCCTGCACTCCATCCACTGAGCCACCATCTGCCCCATATTATATTTACAAGGCATTTTTCCTTTGAGAAAAATTCGCTTACTGCATATGGCACTTTAAAATATGAAGAATATGAATGTAAAATGGTGTGATGAATCCATGGTGCCAGATAAAGGAATATATAACTCTTCTCTGCAAGCAACAACATTCCTTTATAGGTGAAGAGAAAGAATAAAGCATGATAACTTGGTGTTAAGGTTATGTGTATAGCGAAAGTTTTAGATGGGAATTTAAGAGAATCTTTGCAGCTAACAGTGAAAGAGTAAAGGAAATTCAATCTGCTCAAACAATTTATCACTTATTTATATAGCACTTAAACATTTACAAAGCACTTTACAGATCATATCCCCATGAGGTGAGAAGTGCAAAGCATCATCTCCATTTAAAATTAAGAAACAGAGATTAAGTGCCTTGCCTGTGGTCACACAGCTAATAAGTATTAGAGAGTCATCTCCTGACTCCAAGTCCAGTAGTAGTCTTTTCCACTCTACCAGTTTATCTTTAGATTAGAAATCAAATACTGTTTTAGTTACCTAGCATCTGATGTGCCCAAATAACTCCCCATAATTACAACCGAGTTTCTCTTGGATTTATAAAAATAAATTGAAGAGGTCAGCATAGGATTGGATTAGCTGAGCCGAGACTTTGCTGCTTGGTGTTTAAGCAGTACTGAGAGCTAACCTAAACGGATGTCTTTGTAGCAAAAAGGCCACTGAACATCAGGTAACTGAAGACAGTTTCTGAAATGGATGGCAGACACAGCCCAGACCCCCCACCAAGGCATTCTGATGTCAACCACAGAGGTAAGCAAGCTCTTCCACTTTTAAAAGGAAAACTATGGTTAAGAGATTGAAAACCTATGCCAAGAGCAGGTCAGAGCAGAACTATACATAATTCCCTTTCAATGAAGAGTACTTTGTTCTGCAAGAACAGCACAAATGACCCTGAAAATTGACAGCCCTGTCCCCTTCCCAAAGAGACTTAATCATGCTACATTTCATTCAAACAGAAACTCTAATGGAGGAATCAAGAGCTGAAGTATTGTATTGTCCTGTTCACACACACAAAGAGTTATTCCCAGATAAACCTGTTGCTTTATTATGAGAAGTACAATGGCCTTTATTTCCTAAAGATAAACTTCTGCTTTACCCAAGTATGTTATATGTCACAGAAGTTTTAGGTGTGGTATAAATGAAGAATAGTGGTTGTCTGGGGGGGGAGGTGCAGCAGCAAGAGGCAGTAACACAAACTATGAATATCATGGCAATAAGGAAAAAATAAAGCTCTTCCACATTGCCACAAAGAAGTTTTGGGCTACTATAAATCATTTCAGAATGTTGTACCGTTAGTTTTCCTGGTGAATGGTTTCTGCTGACACAAGTTTGAAAAGAAATGTGAAAGTAAAAATAGTAAAAGCTTCAAAGTCTGGTTGTATATCTTTGCCTGTTGATAGTATGTATTCTTTTAAGGCTATTCCAATTCCCTTCATCCATCAAGCCTTCCCTGACCCCCCAACTGGAAGCATTCTTACCTGATACTGGCACTTTTTATTTCTTTTAGGCACTTACCACATTTGAGTGTGTATTAATCTATTACATATCTCTTCATAATCTGCAGAAACTTTCTTGAACAAACGTTTGTACATTTTTATGACATATAATTCAGCATTGTAAAGTTGTTATGCTTAGTTAAATGTCACAGTTTATGCTTTTAGAAATTTTGTATCTTTAATTGCAAAATTTATTGCTACTTTGCACAGTCATTTATTTCTCACTAAATCCTCAAGTTACTCGTAAATTAGATTGATGCTTTAAAGCATCTCTGTTTCATAGATGAAACAGAACTGAGGATTAGGTGACTTCATGTGTCAAAGTCAGTTTCAAGAATGTCAACTCTAGTTTCAGTCCATTAGGCCAAAATTGCCTTTCACATGTGCTTGTGTATTGTCCTATATTGCAGCATTAGTGTTTTTAGACCTATATCATATGAGTAAACCATTTTCATGAGCTCAACTCCTGGAGTTTCCTGATTTCTTTTAAATTTGCAAACCAGCATTCCACTACTCAAACACGTAAGCTTATTAAACCTTGCCTTTTAAAGTTCTCTCATTGATTCTGGGCTAAATTCAAGAAATTTCTCTCTTTAGTTTATTGCATTTGATATCATTATATCCCATAAAATAGCTAAAGAGTTTTAGGATACTGGCAGGATCGAAATCTTAGAAATAGGTTTTGAAGGGACCTCTGTGTCCTTTAATCTAAATCATAACTGAATAGGAATTCCCTGTAATATTCCCAACAAGTAGTCATCAGTCTCTGCTTGAAATCAATAGGGAACATCCAATACAAAACTTTTAGCATCATAATGCCAGAACAAATGATATTAACTGGGCTTCTGTATTTTGTTAGTTTCTCTCACCATAAGAAAACTACTATTTATTCCACTGGAATAAAACAAATTGAATAAATTGCTATAAAAAAATAACTTGTTCTTTGTAGCTGTGTTGGGTGCCTTGCTCCTTGCTTTTTGTTCCAGGGCCTTTTACTTACCGAATATTTCCTTTATATTTAGGCCACATGGATGAAGAACTACCACAAAGAACCAGAAATTGGGCAAATAATCCACCAGTTAACGTTCTAAGAGGAAGAACAGACCTACCCAGAAGAGATGCTAGAGCTAACAACAACACTGTTCCTCGATGGCAAAGGGAAGAAAGGTTTAGTGGCATGGGGAGGAATCCCCATCAGGGAAGGAGATATCAGGGTGGACAGGCTGATGATGAAGCTAGAGGGCAAAGAAATGGTCAAGACAATGAAGCCAGAAGAAGAAATAGGAACAAGATGGGAGAGACCGAAGGCACCAACCTGCTGAAAATGTCCATTTTCGAAAAGATCCCATGAAGTGGAGGAGTCCACATCAAAAGGCTGGGGAACAGTCTCAACAAGTTAAGAGGATTGGCTTTGTATTCCTAGAAAGTCTCCTTCAGAAAGATCCTTCGGAGGTGGTCATCACACTTGCTGCTAACTCTGGATTTAAGGATCTTCTAGATCATACATTCATGAAACCCGGCTTACTTCAGCTCATCTGCCAAGTACTTAGGAAGGCATGTAGCTCTAGAATGGATCGACAGAGTGTTCTGCACCTCTTGGGCATTTTGAAGAACTCCAGTTTCCTCAAAGTGTGTCTACCCAGTTATGTGGCAGGAATGATAACTGAGTCTGTCCCTGCTGTTCGACACCAGTACCCAGAGCATATTAATAACATCGTCTCACTTCTCCAAGACTTGGTAAGTGTGTTCCCAGCCAGCTCTGTGCAAGAAACCTCCATGTTGATGTCCATTTTGCCAGCTTCTCTCAATGCTTTGAGAGCTTCTGGCATTGATATTGGAGAAGAGACAGAAAAAAACCTGGAAAAGGTTCAGACCATCATTGAACACTTGCAGGAGAAGAGACGTGAGGGCACTCTAAAGGTTGACACCTATACTCTGGTGAAACCTCAAACTGCAGAGCATGAGGATAACTATAGAACAATGACTATTTACCCTACTTACAATGAGGTACATCTGGATGAAAAGCCCTTTCTTCGCCCAAACATTATCTCAGGTAGATATGAGAGCACTAGCATCTATTTGGACACTCACTTCCGACTCCTACGAGAAGATTTTGTTAGACCCCTGAGAGAAGGGATTTTGGAACTGCTTCAGAGCTTTGAAGACCAGGGTTTGAGGAAGAAGAAATTCAACGACATCCGAATCTACTTTGACACAAGGATCATCACACCTCTTTGTGCATCATCTGGTATTGTATACAAGGTACAATTTGATACAAAACCACTAAAGTTTGTGCGTTGGCAGAATTCCAAACGTCTGCTCTATGGTTCCTTGGTCTGCATGTCCAAGGATAATTTTGAGACATTTCTTTTTGCAACTGTATCTAACCGGGACCATGAAGACCTTTACCATGGAATCGTACAGCTTTGCTTTAATGAACAGAGTCAGCAGCTATTAGAGGTTCAGCCCTCAGACTCCTTCCTCATGGTGGAAACAACTGCATACTTTGAAGCTTACAGACATGTGCTAGAAGGGCTACAGGAAATTCAGGAGGAAGATGTCCCCTTTCAGAAGAACATTGTCGAGTGTGAATCATACGTGCGAGAGCCTAGTTACTTGTTAATGGGTGGCAGATATGATTTCACAGCCCTAATAGATAACTGCTTAGCCAATGAAATTGGGAAACCGTCTCTAAGGAACATTCCAGACTACAGAAGACCAAGAGTTAATGTTTTAGACCATAGTCAGTGGCCCTCAAAGGAAGCCCTGAAGCTAGATGAATCACAAATGGCAGCTTTGCAATTTGCTCTTACTAAGGAATTGGCTATTATTCAAGGCCCTCCAGGGACAGGTGAAGTTCTGATTTTTTTTTTCTTCAAGCTTTATCATACTGGGATGAGCAGGAGTGGTACTCAGGTTCCCGACATATGCACAAACCATAAGTGATCACCCAGAGTTGCTTCCCAAGAACCAGTAAAATAAAAACATAAGGATGAAAAGGACTGCTAGAGATGAAGAGAGAATGTTATAAACCAAATACCAAATCGTTAACGTGCACCATCTCTTACCAGGGGACACTAAATTAGAACTTGATGAGCTTTGCCAATTTTTACCTAAGGAAGGATGCCCATAGTGATTGTTCACCATCACATTAGTAAAAGTAACACATGCTTTGTAAGAATTTCAAAAGGATTTTTTACAGGCAGCTTAACTGATAGTCCCTTTGGTTGCACTCTTGTTCCTTGGCCCCACTCACCACATTAGGAATAAGGGCCCTAAGCATACTAGAAATAATTTTCTTAAATGTTAACTTCTGTATTTTTGCTTGTCTTACAGGGAAAACCTATGTAGGTCTGAAAATTGTCCAAGCCCTTTTGACTAATGAGCAGGTATGGCAGATTAACACCCGGAAGTTCCCCATCCTTGTTGTCTGCTATACCAATCATGCCCTGGACCAATTTCTGGAAGGTAAGTTTTTTTTAACTTGTTCTCTACTAGAAAGTCAGCATTGACATTAGCATTTACATGTCACATGTAGTATCTCATTCATTAACACCTATAAGTACCAGTCTTTCCCTTAAAGACAGTATAGAAAATGCCAGGAGTCTAATCAAAGCTACCCAAAGTACTGCTCATCCAAGAGGAATTTTTTTGTGGCTCCTCTCAACTTTACATTATTTTCACCTTTTCCCTCAGGAATATATAAATGTCATAAGACCAGCATTGTTCGAGTAGGTGGAAGGAGTAACAGTGAAGTCTTGAAACAGTTCACACTAAGGGAACTGCGAAACAAAAGAGAATTCCGACGGAATCTCCCTGTACATCTCCGGAGGGCCTACATGAGTGTATGTTTCAAATTAAGACTACCTAGGGAATAAGAGGTTGAAGGAAAACCATAAAATAAGACAGCCAATATGAAAGCACCTTGACCAAATTAAGTGCTGAAAGTAACTTGTGATTTGTGTTTCTCTGAAGTATCTGCTGAAAGTGTGTTACATCAGAATTTGGTTTTGAATAAGCCTAGCTTCTGAACTTAGGCAAGGTGGGGAGTGGGAAAAAGTGGGGTGGCCAGCCTGTAGATTTTAAGTGCATGCATTTCTTCCCATTGCTGTTTTCTATGGGCCCAGTTGCTTACTTGGGATACTTACACATTGTAGTTCAAAAACCTGTTGATATGTCCCCGTAATTTCCTTGCTATAAGGAAATCTCAATGAAGAAACTCCTTCTGGGGGCAGCTAGGTGGTGCAGTAAATAGAGCACTGGCCCTGAAGTCAGGAGGACCTGCGTCCAAATCCAGCCTCAGACCAAACACTTGACACTTGCTAGCTGTGTGACCCTGGGCAAGTCACTTAACCCCAATTGCCTTAAAGGAAAAAAAAAAAGGAAAGAAACTCCCTCTACCAGTGCAGATCTAGCAGGTGTTCTGGAATGTATAGAATTAAGAGTTACCCTTGGTGCTCAAGTGTTCATTGGCTTACTCAAGATCTTATAGCCAATAAGTGTCAGAAACAAGACTCAACCCAAGGTCTTGCCAACTCTCTATCCACTATGCCTTGCTAGGTCTTCCCCCGATTTTCTTATTTAATTCAGTTTCCTTATTTTCAAATACTTGCTTTGGGAAGCTGAGGAAAAGGGAGTGGCATTTTTTTATTTTCACAACATATCTCCTTTTTTGAGCAGATCATGACAGAAATGAAGCAGTCAGAGCAGGAAATCCACAAAGGAGCTCATCATTTGGAGTGTACCACCAATGGAGTCGTCCATGAACGACACCTACAGAAATACATTGCCCCTCAACACTGGAACAGCCTGATGAATGGGCCGGTAAGCTGCCAAAGTAATCCCAAATTGATATAAACATCTGGCTTGCCTCCTTCCTCCATAACTGTAGAATATGGGTGCCAAGCCAGAAAGGTAAGCTTTTGTTAATGGTAATTTAAGGACAGAAAGAAGGCACTATTTGAAATCATCAAATGGAGACCACAACTCATTTTCTCCCTGCAGGTCAGCAGGCTCATTACTACTCATTACTGTTCATTACTGCTGTCTCCCTTTATCAGGATATTGAATGGCTTTACTCAAGGAAGGGCTGGAAGCAATCAATGATCCTGGAGTGGCTGGGCCTGGGTTTTACTGCCTTCACCCAAAGTGTGTCTTCACCCCCCACTGAAGAGCCTGAGAACACAGGTAAGAGGCCAATACTAACATAATTTCCATAGCTTGGTAATGAAATGGGAGGAGTAGAGAACCAGCACTTGATGAATGTACAATCAAGTCTTTCAAGGCTTTATATCCATACCCACACACATTTCATAATGTGAAGACTTCTTTTCTTCTTCATCCCCTAGTCTGTTGTCTTTATCAGAAATGTCTTTCTCTCACTTCCCCACCACCACTTCATGATTTCTTCTTTAGCTCGGCAGGAAGGGGGTGAAGAGGAAGAAGGTGAGGAGGAGGAAGCACTAATTGAGATTTCAGAAGAGGCTGACTTGATCCAAGCAGACCGTGTGATTGAGGAAGAAGAGGTTGTTAGGCCTCGACAGAGGAAAAAAGTAGATAATGGAGCTGTACAAGAGCTGGCTAAAATGCTATTGGCCATGAGACTGGACAACTATGGCCAGGCAGCACCTGAGCAGGAACAAGCAACTGGAGAATGGGAGGTGAATTTCTTTTTAGTAGCATCTAGATCTTCCCAAGAGTGTAACTAAGGAAAGGATTCATAATTGCAGAAATATACTTACCATGAAGAAAATCCAAGGCTAGAAGGCAGTACTACTGGTGGCTTTATTCCTAGTACAACCCCTAGCAGCACTTTCCTTCATTCCTTTAATTTGTTTTGTTGGGGGGAGGGGTGCAATTTTAACAAACACCTGTATTTTTTAAATAATGTGCAGAGGAGGGAAAGGAGGAAACAAGATAGTGCATTGTTATGGAAACATATTGAGGGGGCAGCTAGGTGGCACAGTGGATAGGACACCAGCCCTGGAGTCAGGAGGACCTGAGTTCAAATTCAGCCTCATACACATAACACTTACTATCTCTGTACAGACTCTAGGCAAGTCATTTAACCCCAATTGCCTCACAAAAAAAAAAAAAGAAAGAAAGAAAAAGAAAAATATTGAGGACTCTGATTCTGAAAGACCATGAATTCAGTGGTCCTTGTTTCGTGCTTTTGCTTGTAGACTCAACGTAGTCAGAAGAAGAAGATGAAGAAGAAAGTGAAGGTAGAGCTCCGAAAGTTGAATGCAATGACTGAAGCAGAAGCTAAGGAAATAGAGGATGTGTGGCAACTGGACCTGAATACACGGTGGCAGCTCTATAGGTATCCTCCTCAGTTTGTCCCACTTGGCAGTGCCAGGGGCTTTTTCCCCAGTCTTCATCTGGAACATTTTTCCAGTGTATTTTCACTTGCCCCACCTCACTCCAATTTGTTCTGTTTCCAGCAGCAAGAAGCATTTCCTCAATTGTAATTGTGATCCTTTCATTATCTTAGAATCTCATGGTAGCTCCCAGATGCCTCTCGCATTAAGATCCTTGATTTTGGGCTTTAAAACTATCCTCACTTAACTTCTTTGACATTCTATTACTCTGTTATCCCCAACATTATAATTTTGTCATCTTAAGTTCTGGCCATTAAGCAGATCTGCTTACCTTATATAGCCTATTCTTTGACCTCTGCATCTCATCACATGTATATGTTTGTTATTTAATGTTTATCATAGGTTTTGTTTTAGCCGCCTTCTCATTAAATTAAGCTTCTTCCATTCAGGAATTTCCTAGTGTCATAACAATATACAGCCAAGGAGACACTCAACAAATGTATTGACAAGCAGGGATACACCTTCTGACCATTCTGCCAGCAGATTGCTTACTCTCATCCACTTTCCCTAGGATGTGGCTGCAGATGTACCAGGCAGATATTCGAAGAAGGATCCTGAACCATGAACGACTGTACCAGGCCTCAGCAGAAAGGATGGTAGAGCTGAAGCTACAAGAGGATCTCTGTATCCTCAAAGATGCCCAAATTGTAGGCATGACAACTACAGGTAAGTAGATATGGGGAAAACCAGAAGCTTAACTCCATAACTATTTCTAGAGCACAGCTGTTACCCAATTAGGACAGAAACAAATTCATCTCCAAAATGCCTTGTGACAGAAAAAGGTTAGTGTATAGTAAATTGCCACTAGGCTGCATCTGAGTTTTGCTTGTCTCCAAAAATGTGAGTTATTCACTGTTATTTGAAGTTCTAATACGTAAAAAGTCCAGATTCAGTGCTACTTTATAAATTAAGGGGCATGCTTAGTGTATTATTGTTCAGTTGTGTCTGACTTCGTGACCCCATTTGGAATTTACTTGACAAAGAGTAGTTTGCCATTTCCTTCTCTAGCTCCAGATGAAGAAACTGAGGCAAACAGGATTAAGTGACTTGCCCAGGGTCACCCAGCTAGTAAATGTCTAAGGCCAGTTTGAACTCGGAAAGATAAGTCTTTCTGATTCCAGACCTAGGACTCTATTCACCACACCACCTACCTTGGTGTATAGGTAGGCACAAAGGATAGTTCCCTACTGTAGTAAGGGTCTTCATGTTGCATAAGGAGTTTCTTCTCTCTCCCTACACTTGAGGTGCTGCCAAGTACCGCCAGATTCTACAAAAGGTGGAACCTCGAATTGTCATAGTAGAGGAAGCAGCAGAGGTGCTAGAGGCCCACACCATTGCCACCCTGAGCAAAGCCTGCCAGCATCTCATCCTCATTGGGGATCACCAGCAGGTAAATTCAGGCCTACTTTTATATAACCAACAAAAAGAACTTCAGATAAGGAAAATTTTGTTGGCATACTCCCACAATCCATGCATAGTGATGTGCTTTACTTCCCTCTGTTGACCTCTAGTATCCCTACCTTTTTCCATAATTCCCTTTTATTACCATTCTCTTGACAGTCTAATCTGAAAAGTACTGTTAGGGCACTTGATAATAATCCTAAATCAGATTTTGCCCTTTCCTCTTTATTTAACTCTACCAATTTATCTGAAATTTTTTTTGTAGAGTACGTCAATTTGAATATGCTTTGAACCAAATGTGGACATGTGTTACATGTTTTTCTCCACTCCCCACAGCTGCGCCCCAGTGCCAATGTGTATGACCTGGCCAAGAACTTCAATCTAGAGGTCTCACTCTTTGAGCGGCTAGTAAATGTCAATCTTCCCTTTGTCCGTTTGAATTACCAGGTGAGAAACAATAAGCCTTGGCTAAGGTTTTATAGATTTCTTTTTTGTTCCTCATTTACTAGGTGAAAAGTGTTAAGATCTAGCCATTAACAAAACTGATTTCACATGAAGGTAAACTGAGCATACTCCTACTGATGTGACTCTCAGAACAGTTTTATTTCTCTTCTAAGGCTTGACTCAGGCATAGCTGATTTGGCCAGTTGGGAGTCAGGTACTCTTCTTATAGTATGCTTTCTCCCAAGTTTTTCCAAAAACAAAATTAGGATTGTACATCCTAAACTTTGGAACATTTGTTCTTTTTTCAGGATTTAAGAGTGTCATGTTTAAAATAACTTATATGTCTATTTCAGCACCGAATGCGCCCTGAAATTGCACGGCTACTAACACCCCACATTTACCAAGATCTGGAGAATCATCCTTCTGTTCTCAAGTATGAAAAAATTAAGGTGAGTTTATTCAAACGGATATTTCTATGATTATTACTAACAATTTAGGGAATTGTATAAGGGAAGAGAACCAACTGTTGAGTGATACGGCTCCTTCCAGCTTAATTAGCAAGAAGTATTCAGGAGAAAACATACCAAGCCCTTGGTAACCCAGTTGGTCTATCAGCTGAATTAGACATAATTATGAGAAGTTCCCCATCAAAGCAAAGGGTAGAATAAAAGTGGAGTCAAAGGACTTTTATAGAGTCTTTTCCTAGAAATGAGTAGACAATTCATGTCAGAGTTAAGTCACATCAGAAGTGACTACTAACCTACCTAAGCTTTAGTGCTAGGACTCTGAATTTTATTCACCTTTTCACAGTGCCCAGTTGTTGCAGGCACTCAAAGAGGAATAAGATTCTGTACAGCACAGCCTCAATTCTATCTTTAACAAGGTTTTCTTTTTATTTTCACAGGGCGTCTCTTCCAATCTCTTTTTCATAGAGCATGACTTCCCTGAACAAGAGATCCTAGAAGGGAAAAGTCACCAAAACCAGCATGAGGCTCGCTTTGTGGTAGAACTGTGCAAGTACTTCCTGTGTCAGGAGTATCTGCCATCTCAGATCACTATTCTTACAACCTATACTGGACAGCTTTTCTGCCTCCGCAAACTCATGCCAGCCAAAACATTTGCAGGTGTGAAAGTCCACGTTGTGGACAAATACCAAGGGGAAGAGAATGACATCATTCTGCTATCCCTTGTGCGGAGCAACAAAGAAGAGAAAGTTGGATTCCTCAAGATCAAAAACAGAATCTGCGTAGCTCTGTCCAGAGCCAAAAAAGGGATGTACTGCATTGGGAATATGGGGATGCTAGCCAAAGTTCCATTATGGAGCAAAATCCTTCACACTCTGCGAGAAAATGGTCAGATTGGCAGTGCACTAATGTTGTGCTGTCAGAACCACCCTGATACACACACACTGGTATCCAAAGCCACTGATTTCCACCAGGTGCCAGAAGGGGGTTGTAGTCTCCCCTGTGAATTTCGGCTGACCTGTGGACATGTCTGTACTAGAGCCTGCCATCCCTATGATTCTAACCACAAAGAATTCCAGTGTATGAAGCCCTGTCAGAAGATACTCTGTGCTGACGGACATCGGTGTCCATCAGTGTGCTTCCAGCCCTGTGGCCCTTGCCAAGTAAAGGTCCCTAAAACAATTCTGCGTTGTGGACACCAACAAATGGTCCCATGTTCCATGCCAGAGTCAGACTTCTGCTGCCAAGAGCCTTGTCCCAAATTCCTGATATGTGGGCACAGATGCAGTCACTCGTGTGGAGAAGAATGTGTTCGTCTTTGTTCTGAGATGGTCACTGTCAATCTCAAGTGTGGACATAACCAGCAGGTGAAATGTGGCAATGTAGAAGATCTTCAGTATGGCTTACCCGTCAAGTGTACCACCAAGTGTAGCACAATCTTAGACTGTGGGCACCCTTGCCCAGGCTCTTGCCATGACTGCTACGAAGGACGGTTTCATGAACGGTGCCAGCGTCCCTGCAAGCGCTTACTCATCTGCTCACATAAATGCCAAGAGCCTTGCATTGGTGAGTGTCCACCCTGTCAAAGGATCTGCCAGAATCGCTGTGTTCACAGCCAGTGTAAAAAGAAGTGTGGAGAGCTATGCAGCCCATGTGTGGAACCTTGTACTTGGCACTGCCAGCACTACCAGTGCACCAAACTCTGCTATGAGCCATGTGATCGGCCCCCATGCTATGTGCCTTGTACAAAGTTGTTGGCTTGTAACCATCCTTGCATTGGCCTGTGTGGGGAACCATGCCCTAAGAAGTGTCGTGTGTGCCATCAAGATGAAGTTACCCAGATTTTCTTTGGCTTTGAGGATGAACCAGATGCCCGCTTTGTACAACTGGAGGATTGTAGCCACATCTTTGAGGTGCAGGCTCTTGACCGCTACATGAATGAACAGAAAGATGAAGAAGTTGCCATCAAGTTGAAAGTCTGTCCTATCTGTCAAGTTCCCATCCGCAAGAACCTTAGGTATGGTACTAGCATAAAAAAGCGTCTGGAAGAGATTGAGAGGATCAAGGAGAAAATACAAGGCTCAGCTGGCGAAATCACTGTCAGGCAGGAAGAGCTACAGGTCCTGCTAGAAGGGAAGACCAATATCCAAAGGTTTCTCCCTGAGGATTTTCTGATGCTAAAAGAAAAGCTCTCTCAGTCTGATCTGTCTGTGAAAGCCTTGGGTCTAGCTGAAAATCAAATCAGCTTCTATGAGCGCTTGGCCAGCATAAGGGAATCACTGAGCAAGACAGAAGTTAGTGAGAGGGCTGGGGTAAGGATTCGGCTGGAACAGGTCCATAAGTGGCTAGCAAAGGAGCGTCTGAGTTTTACCAGCCAGGAATTGGAAGACCTCCAAAGTGAAGTACAGAGGATAACATACTTGGTGAACCTCCTGATCCGTTGCAAGATGGCAGGGGGAAAGATGAGCAGTTCGGTAGTGGAAGAAGTGGCCACCCTTCGAGAGATCCTAGAGGGCCCTTTTAAATTCAGTAAAAATGACGAGGAACTGGTGGTGAAGAAAATGAAAGCTCTGGATGCTGTCCTTCCTTGCTGTGGCTTGGGCATCTCAGAACAAGAACGGGTACAGATAGTAAATGCTTTGGGCTATCCCCGAGGTCACTGGTTCAAATGCCCCAATGGCCACATCTATGTGATTGGCGAATGTGGAGGAGCAATGCAGAGGGGTAAATGTCCCGATTGTGATGCAGTAATTGGTGGTGAAAACCACACTCTGGAAAGTAACAACCAATTGGCTTCAGAGATGGATGGTGCCCAATATGCAGCTTGGTCTGAAACAGCCAACCTGTTGAACTTTGAGGACATTCGCAGGTTGATCTAGGAAGATGCTTTCCTATTACCTTTCCTTTCTTTCTCCCTCAGCCACAGCCAGGCTGGGCTTGGCTCCCTGAAGAAGGGACTGCTATTCCTGACTTCCCTGAAATCCTGGCACTCTACTGATCCATTTTAGGACTTTTCCAGTGTTTGTTCCTAGATTTAGTCCTGCGCTTAAGTGAGCACTTTACCTCTAATCGAGAATAAAATTAATAGACAAGATTTTCCCTTTTCTTTCTCTTATAAGGTCAGCCTCCCTGGTGCATGTTTTGGGCTTAAGTTGCCTAGTGATAATCTCCTGGCCCTGTCTTCCTGCCTGTCTTAGCTAAATGCTCTTTGTACAGTGCTTATAATGGCACTAGGCACACGGTAGGAGCTTAATACTTAATGACTGCATCTCAGGCCCCAGCTATGCAACCCAATTTTGTCCCAAAGGAGAGCTACATAGAAGACACTTGTCCTTGAAAGGAGCTCAACTGGAACATTCTTGCATCCCTTTGGGGCCATCTTCAACTCCAAAAGGAAATGAAGAAAATGCAGAAAATTCAAAGTCTACGACAGGGTTTTAAACCTAACTTGGGCCTTGAACATGTCCATGTTGACCAAGGAGTAACAATAGTAACACTTCCATTGGCTTGTATCACAAGAAGACGAGAAGCTTTTTTATCGCAGTTTAAACAGGTTTGGAAGTAAGGCTGCCTCCTGAGGCATGCCTCGTTCATTCCCCCGAGTGGAATAAAACTGACATTCAGTACCAGCAGCACCTACTTATCAAAGTGTAACCCTTTCATCTATCCTTCCTATATCATGGCTTTTGCCTGGGTGGAGCTTTTAGCATGCCTCCGATGTCTGCAGGCCCAGGCCATACTCAGGCCATCTGTCCTGCTTAGGTGTTGCCTCCATGGCATTTGTTCCATAAAAGACATAGATTTCTCAGGTCCTTTCTACTGTTTGCAAGCAAAATTCCCCTACCTTATGTATGCGTTCCCTTTTTGTCTTTACTATGCACTTTAGAATATGATGCCAATTAATAAAGCAATTATTGACAAAAATAAATGGTCCATATTTCCTTCTCATAGCTGCTGCCAACTTAGCTCTGTTAGCATGTCTGCTTTTTTCAGTCACCAAGTAACCAGGATACCATGCTTTTATGGGGCAAGTCAAAGATTTCCTCTGGTTCCACTTCCCTTTAGAAAGCTAACTTCATCTGTGCACAACCTTTATCACATAGAACAAAAGAGTATATTCCTTCTCAGGGAAGAATAGTATCCTCAATCCCCATCCCCTCCTTTTAGAAATAATTATGGTACAGATTACTACCACAATATTTCCAGTCCCTTCAAAAGAAATGCAATTACATTGTTTCAGTTGAGTTGATGCCCTGGATAAGGAGTGTAAAGAATGTTTTTATCTGGCATGGAAAGGTTACACAGCAAGAAGACTTTAGGATAAAGATGCTCAAGGAAACATCAGTTATTTGAAAATAAATGCAAACTATTGAGACTGTTTTAATAGAACTTTTTAAAGAGGATTTTTACAATCAAAAAGAACAATGGAATTACATTTCCCCTAGGGAAGGGCTTAATAAGCCTTAAATATTTCTTCAGGTAACTACTGCTACTTCCTCCTCTTGTACCTGTGGAAAGAAATCAGCAGAACTACGGTCATAATCTACTTACTTGAAGAGAGGCCAGGATTTTATTCAATCACCAAACTGACAGCTTTTACCTGGATTTAGATTTGAAGTTTCCTCCTCTCCTTGGGTGGAGTAATCCCATCTGTTTCCCTTCTTCAAAGGTGGGACTGTGATCAACATAGCAATCATGCAGGAAGTTAGGTTTTGGATAATTTTCTTATATCCCCACAACTGTTCCCAATACTCAAAAGAGCAACCTTCATCTTCTGACCAGAGACAGAACATGTCTTTTGGAGAAAGCTCTATCCAGGTAAGCTTCTCTCCTTAACTTGTCTATATAAACTTTACTTCTCATTTCTACATAAGAGTGAAGCCTAGAGATTAGCCCTAAAGTTCTAAACTTTTATCTACTTCTCCAAACTGTTACATGTGAGAAAACGTCAGCATTAAAGGAAGGATGACAATTCCAACCTGCTCGTCACATATGCCAGAAGTGGATTTACAGCAGGGACTCAAAAAACATGCTCACACTGTAAGTAAAGTTAAATTTAGGGTTCTACATGACTCCCAAGCTTTGGCAGCTGTCACTCTGCCCTACATTTTCATTAAATGTACCATCTTAATTGTAAGGCAATATACATATACTAAGTATACTTAATATGAGTAATTTTATATGATTTTAAATCCTACCCAGCTCGATATTGTTTCAAAGCCTTCTTGCTAGTGTTGGTAAGTTCCTCATCAAACACAGATTTCTTCACCTTCTTTTGTTTCCTGCCTATAAAGAGAAAGATTCAGTTATAAATTACCTTGAGGTAAACTTCAGCATGTTCTTCACTAGGTTCCTAAATGCCCTTAGCCCAAACTGATGTGATGGCATCCTGGTTGGACATCAGACAATGTTCCTGCCTGATTCACCAAGGACCAGAGGAAGAATGATTCCTATTCCAAGAAATAAATGGCCACTCTTACCTGATCATATTCACCCCTTCATAGGTTGTAGTAACACCCACCAAAGCCTGAAGTTACACAATGTTTGCCTACCTGGGGCTGGCTCCTCCTCAGGCATGGCTCGTGCTCTCTTGGCCCTGCGATTCCTCTTAGCCAATCGCTCAGCAAACATTTGTGACTTTAGAATCTCAAATTGAGACCTTTCTTCTGGCTGTAGAGGAGGGTGGAATGCAAATAAGTTTCTGAACAACAGTAACCCACCAAGCTCCCCAGATCTTGACATCCAGATTCCAACTCACTGTCATTTCCCCTTTTTTCTTGTAGTCTTTCATAAACTTCTTTCTTTTTTTCTTTCCCCTCAAAGCCAAGTCAAACTCTTGCAGGGCCTTTGCAACTAAGGAAAGAAAGAGGACACAAAATTCAAGGACTGTTTGCTAAGTAATGAAATTTCTATCTTAGTCAACAACCACAAAGTAAAAAACTCTGCTTCAAGAAAAGTTCCTGATTATCATTTACAGATTCTCATTATTCTCCCTTATGGAGAGAGTGACTAAGAACCTAAACTGTATCAGGAAAGCCTGATCACATGACTCACTTTTTTCCTTCTTCCTCTCCTCTTTACTCTGGAACCAGGTCCGCTCTGGCTCTTCATTCCCTTTCTCTAGGAGTCGTTTTGCTGTATTTATCTGTGAGAAAGACAAAAGTGAAACACAGAGCATGGCTGCCCAAAGCTGGTGAACCAACTGTCCACTAATAAGGACATTTGTTTTAGCACATCCATTATTCCACAGAACGCCATCAGTGAAGAGAGTCTGTCACCTAAGATGGCTTCTGATCCCAATGCAGATATCAAGCTTCCTAGCTGAAAGACCAAAACAGGACCAACAAAAATATGTTCCCTATCAAAGTAAAGGAGCTGATTGCTTAACTCCTCCCTACTTCTCTGTTTCTTCATCTGTAACATATTACCTATAGTATTGGGCACAACATGTGTATGTGTACATGTGTATATGTACATATATATATAGCATAAATACATATATATAGTATACACACACATATATACATACACATATACACACATACATACATACACACACACACACACACACACACATCTTTAAACATCTAAAATTAATGCACATACCACCTGCTGCCTATCTCATTTTGACATTTCCATCTGGATGCCCCATCAGCATCTCAAACTCTTTTGTCACAATATTATGTCACTTAAGTTCTGAGCCTCAGTTTCTTCATCAGTAAAATGAGAAAGATCCAACTCAGTGACAGTTTTGAGTTTCCTTCCAAATCAAAATCTGACAGTATTCATGTTTTTATTTTATTTTAATTATTTTATTCTGAACTTAATAAATAAACAAGCACTTCCATAACATAGTAAAACAGAAAAAATGATTGTACATGAAACTGCTAATCTATTATGTAAAACTTACTATTCCTTTTAAATATACAATAAAGTCATCATGTATCTTTAAAAAAAAAAAGGTAGAGGAGCCATTTCCTCCTGTTTACCTGGGCTTCTGAGTGCTGCATCTCCTTCTCTTCAGCCTCTAGCCTCAGGACTGCATACACATCTTTCTCCATCTTCTCAATCTTGTCTCGGAATTTTAGGATTACATCTAAGTGGGGTGAGAAGAACTAAAACTGCATATAACTGAAAAAGCAACAAACAAATCAGGGATGAAGAGTTTATAAGATGGCTAACAATGAGGCACAGAAGTGGCATAAAGGGCATCATTAAGGATATAACTAGAAAAAAGAGGTAGGCCATTCATCTAGTAAGAGTAAGGGATAGGTAGACAACCCAGAGTGATAGACCAGTATCTACAACATTCTAATAAAACAAAAAGACCTCCTAGGGAAGACAAAGACTTGCACAGGATGAGGAGGCATGGATGGTTTGTGATCTATATCAGTGAAGGATTACCCACAATGAAGAGCTCACAGATCCATGTAAGTAAACTTAAAAATGAAAAAGGAAAGCCTAAAAGGGATTTAAAGAAAAAGATAAGTCCAAGCCTCCCTCATTTCAATCAGAATGATAAATGGGAAATACAGTTTTTATCCTCAGAAATAGACATATCAAGAACAAAGAGTTGTTCAACTTCTACCTAACATAACTTTGTTGACAATTACAAACCAGAGAAACCAATTTTTTTGTCCCGACAGTCAAATTTCCTATTTCTTCCACAGCTGGAATAGAGGAAGAACTCCTGAAGGAAAGACATCCAGAGCACCTACCTTGAGGAAGGATCCTGGCCTTCACAGGTGCTTTGGCTGATTTCACAATCTCCTTCAACATCTTACGTTCCTCCTCTCCCACCAGAGAGACAGAGCGTCCAGCCCTGCCAGCACGTGCTGTTCGGCCTACCCGGTGCACATAATGTTTGATGGTGTTGGGCATTGTAAAGTTGATGACCTGAAAGAAAGAAATTTAGTAAAATAGAGACAAAGTCAGCTTTATGACTAAAAAGGATTGAGAAACAAAAAAAAAAACAAACCAGGCCTCTCAACCAGTAATAAAAGTTCATTCAGGAATATGTGAAAAGAGATTAGTTGTCTCACTGTTTTGACACCTTCGATGTCTAGTCCTCGAGCTGCCACATCTGTGGCCACCAGGATGTCAATCTGCTCATCCTTGAAGCGCCTTAAAATGAAGAATAGAAAGGATCAGAGTAAGCCAGCAAATGTTGAACAGGGAACACTAACTAGTGGACACCACAAAGTTAGAAGACCTTCATTTTTGCTTCTAATTCTGATACTGGTACTTTATATCTTAATGAGAAGGTTTGCCTTTCCCCAATTCCACCTCAGGAGGCTTATGTGAATTTTGTGAAGTCCCTTGGTCCATTTCCCAAGACACTCCATATCTTTACCTTAGGGCTTCCAGACGCTGTGTTTGAGAGAGATTCCCATGCAGCTCTCCCACCTGCAGCCCCATAAGCCCAAGAAGGATGTGCATACGATGAGCCTGCTTCTTGGTCTGGGTGAATAGCATCACGTGGTCTGTAAAAGTTCGTGTCAAAAGAGCTGAGGGGAACAGAGAAAAAGGTTATAAGCAAGAAACAGTCATAGTATCACACATGTCCCCAAGCTCAAAAACAGAAAGCAAGCTTCCCCTAAATCTTTCACGCTAGTTCCTCAGTCTCACCTGACACAATGGCTTCGCGGTCTCCTTCTCGATTAGGTCGGATTCGAATGAATTCCTGCCTTAGGAATGGAGCTACATCTGTGTTGCTGTTCACAAAGATCCGGACAGGATTCTTTAGTGAGACTGAGGCCAGATCTTTCACCTGCCAGGCATGGGAAAAAAATTTAGCTCATTTACAAAAGAAAGGGGGATCCCCTTGAGATAATTCTCATTCCCTTAACACTGGCACCAGATACTTCAGCATGTCAACCTGAGTTTACACATGCTGAGACAAACTAGAGAGGCCCACCTCATCTGTCA